GCGGGGATTTAATTTAATGTTAAAGTAGAATTATTCGGGATTTCAATTACCAAAGGTTCGTAAGATACAATATATTTTCCTCCTCACTTAACTGGTAAACAGACTGAGTGTCTTTTACAAGTAGTGATGAATGGACTGTTGTTGAATATATTTGGGGGAATTTTCCATCATTTTTATTTCGATTTTTCCCCAAACGACCCCCCTAATGTCCAAAACAAACACACAAACATCAAAATATCCAAACAAACAAATATACCAGAACACAAACGTATATTAGGTAAAAAAAAAACTAATTAAGAAGATAAATATATACATCAGGTGTATATATATGTGGTGCCTCCTGGGTGAACATACCTGGCACTGGCACCCATCTCTACCTGGGTCACGTGTTTCCTAGTAATAAAAAAAAAATCGTTTCCTAAATCCCTTATGACCCATATTATTTTCTTATACACAAAACACTACAGGAGGTTCTTTATATTACAGTCAATTGTTATACTCTGTAACTTACCTGTGATATAGTTTAATATATATATCTATCATATAAGCCATTCCATAAGTGGTGGTGGTGGTGGTGGTGGTGGTGGTGGTGGTGGTGGTGGTGGTGGTGGTGGTGGTGGGTGGTGGTGGTGGTGGTGGTGGTGGTGGTGGTGGTGGTGGCTGGGAGGAGGATGAGATTTGACACACACACACACACACACACACACACACACACAGTGCCATGTATGACCCACACTGATCACAGAAATATGTGTCAGGGAGCCAGATGATGACACCTCACGTGCTACCACCTGGCATCCCCCTGGCACTACTTCCTCCTACCTCCATATGACCTCCCCGCTTCCTCACGCCCTCCCGTCTTACCCTCCCTTGCCTCTCTCACCTCCCACTGACACCAAGCACGTCTTGTGGCACTCTCCCCTCACCACCTTCCTACTACGTGACGACAGCAGAGCAACCAGCCCATATCCCCCTCCCTCCTCCTCCCCCCTCCCCTCCCTGCATGTCCGGTATTTCCTGTCACTAGCGCAACTCCACGTGACTGCTGGAACGTACAGGTGGCACTGAGCTCACCCCAGTGCCATGCCTGCCCCACCCCTTCCCACCTCCCCTACCCCCTCCAGACCTACATTATATACCCTTTCTCCCCGCCCCTTGCTCTACCTCTTCCTCCCCACTTTTCCCTTCCCCTCCTCCCTCTCATACCTTCTCACCCTCCTCGGTGACTCTTGAGTGAGATACAAATTCCTGGTACAGGTGTTACGGCCTCTCTCTCTCTCTCTCTCTCTCTCTCTCTCTCTCTCTCTCTCTCTCTCTCTCTCTCTCTCTCTCTCAAGTAGTATCACACACACACACCTGTCGTATGGGATCATTAGGGGAGGGTAAATCATTAAGGTTTCAGGTGTTATTCGAAAGCAAATTATACCTGTGCCTGCACTTGACGGGTAACACTCACGCACACATACTGTACACCTTCACAGATAAAGGCAGACACACACACACACACACACACAGTGATGATTTCAATAATACCTCACACTGAGAGAGAGAGAGAGAGGTTACGTCACACCATTGACCAGTACCCAACGTCCTCCGAATGCCTTGTGAAGCTCTCCAAGCCTTGGCCCTGGCACCTCTATCTCCTGCACACCTACCCCTACCCTCTTGGCACTCACCTTCCTTGTACCCATACCTCCTGGCACTCCTACCCCTTCCTGTACCCATACCTCCTGGCACTCCTACCTCCCTGTACCCATACCCCCTGCACTCCTACCCCTTCCTGCCCACCTCCTGGGCACTCCTACCTCTTCCTTGTACCCATACCCTCCTGGCACCTCCTACCCCTTCCTTGTACCCATACCCTCCTGGCACCCCTACCCCTTCCCTTGTACCCATACCCTCCTGGCACTCCTACCCCTCCCTCTTTGGCCCATACCTCCCTGGCACTCCTACCCTTCCTTGTACCATACCCTCCTGGCACTCCTACTCCCTTTCCCTACCCATACCTCCTGGCACTCCTACCCCTTCCCTTGTACCCATACCCTCCTGGCACTCCTACCTTCCCCTTTGTACCCATACCTCCTGGCACTCCTACCCCTTTCCCTTGTACCCCTACCCTCCTGGCACCTCCTACCCTTCCCTTTGTACTCATACCCTCCTGGCACTCCTACCCCTTCCCTGTACCCATACCTCCTGGCACTCCTACCCCTTCCCTTGTACCCATACCCCTCCTGGCACTCCTACCCCTTCCCTTGTACCCATACCCCTGGCACTCCTACCCCTTCCCTGTACCCACACCCCCTGACACCTCCCCTTTTCACCCATACCCTCCTGGCACTCCTACCCCTTCCCTTGTACCCATACCTCCTGGCACTCCTACCCCTTCCCTGTACCCATACCTCCTGGCACCCTACCCCTTCCCTGCACCCATACCCCCTGGCACTCCTACCCTTCCCTGTACCCATACCTCCTGGCACTCCTACCTTCCTTGTACCCATACCTCCTGGCACTCCTACCCCTTCCCCATACCCACACCCCCTGGCACCCTACCCTTCCCTGTACCCATACCCCCACTCCTACCCTTCCCCTGTACCCATACCCCCTGCACCTCACCTTCCCCACCCATACCCTCTGGCACCCCACCCTTCCCTTGCACCCATACCCCTGGCACCCCTACCCCTTCCCTGTACCCATACCTCCTGGCACTTCACCCCTCCCCCATACCCATACCCCCCTGGCACTCCCTACCCCTCCCCTGCACCACACCCCCTGGCACCCCACCCTTCCCCATACCCATACCCCTGGCACCCTACCCCCACACCCATACCCTCCTGGCACTCCTACCCTTCCCCACCCATACCCCCTGGCACCCCACCCCTTCCCTGTACCCATACCCCTGGCACTCCCACCCCCTATACCCATACCCCCTGGCACTCTCCCTCCTGTACCCATACCCCCTGGCAATCCCACCTCCCCCTTGTAACCATACCCCTGCATCCTACCCCTGTACCCATACCCCTGGCACCTACCCCCCCTTCCCCAACCATACCCCCTGGCACTCTACCCTTCCCTGTACCATACCCTCTGCACTCCTACCCCACCTACCTCCTGCACCAGCAACCTCCCTTGTACTCTTGCCTCCCCGTCACCAGATCCTACCCCTGGCACCATTAGCCCCTCCTGGCACCCCTTCCCCTTGGCACTCGACCTCCTCCTGGCAGCCTCATTTGGCACTCCTTCCCCTCACCGGCCATGAACCCTTGATTAATTTAAAACAACCAGAGCATTGCCATGACAACTCAGGGCTCGATATGTCAGTGTGGCATAGTGGGTATATCCTGGTATATCAGTGTGGTATAGTGGGTATATCCTGGTGTAGTGGGTATATCCTGTTATATCAATGTGGTATAGTGGGTATATCCTGGTATATCAGTGTGGTATAGTGGGTATATTCTGGTGGAGTGGGTATATCCTGGTATATCAATGTGGTATAGTAGGTATATCCTGGTATATCAGTGTGGAATAGTGGGTATATCCTGGTGTAGTGGGTATATCCTGGTATATCAGTGTGGTATAGTGGGTATATCCTGGTGTAGTGGGTATATCCTGTTATATCAGTGTGGAATAGTGGGTATATCCTGGTGTAGTGGGTATATCCTGTTATATCAATGTGGTATAGTGGGTATATCCTGGTATATCAGTGTGGAATAGTGGGTATATCCTGTTTATATCACTAAGGTATGGTGAGTATAACCTGAAGAACGTGAGTATAACGACGACAGATATGTGGATATATTGTACTCTATAATACCCGCACTATCTATCTACATTGTTTATATACCCGCACTGTCATTCACCTAGATTATAGGTGAATGACTCCAGCCCCTCCTCTTAAAATGAAAAGTAAACATACATACACTCAAATGTTTACTTCGATACACTCAAATGTTTACTTCAATACACTCAAATGTTTACGCAAGAACAACTAACTTTACCTTAGCTCAGTGAAGTACCTGTATAATTAAGAAGATAATTTCAAAGTGGGTCAATTGACTAGTGATTCGTTTCAAAGTGACAATTGACTAGTGATTCGTTTCAAAGTGGGTCAATTGGATGCTTTGTGTTTCGAGGGAAGAGAAACAGTATCGAAGGTGTGTTATTTTGATGATTGGCAATACCTGAAAACTCCATCACCATAACAATCCACCATCACCAAAATCGGTCACCACAATCTCACACCACCACAATCCACCATTAATGGCTCAAACTTGGATCTGAGGGGGCTCAGATCCAAGTCTAACCCACACCATACAATCCCATCACCACCACCACCACCACTATAATCCACCATTAATGCCTCAAGATAAGAATTATCATAATTTTTGCCTCATCCAAACTTAACCTCGTATCACAGGGTCTAAGGAGCAAGAATTTCCTTCAGTTTGCATGTCGTGGCCGCCTGGTGCACGACAGTAAGGAACAGGGACATTTTCTCAGTAGGGTCGACTCTGGTATCACGTAAGATCAAGACAGATACCCCAGAAATTATAGCATTTATGTTATTTATGAGTAATAGGGTGGGTGATTGGGTGATTGATTGGGTGATTTATGATTTACGGTAAAGGGTTATGCCTTGATAATATTAGGAGCACACTATATACACCTGTATAGTATTTAAGTAATGGTAACAGTACAGTGATTAATGAGCTACAGGTACAGTATACTAATAGTAGATCCAGAGTCAATATTGTGATCCATTCTTGGTGAGGTGAGGTGTGGTGTGGTGTGGTGTGGTGTGGTGTGGTGGTGTGTGGAGGTGTGGTGTGGTGTGTGGGTGTGTAGGAGGTGTGGTGGTGTGGTGGTGTGAGGTGTGTGTGGTGAGGTGTGGTGGTGGTGTGGTGAGGTGTACTGCTGTGGTACGCTGAGGATACTGAGATAAAATACAGCTGCAGAAACACAGGAATATTAAGAGTAACAAGTACCGCTGTGGGTAGACTTACCTAGTGCCGGTGATGAGTGGGCTGCAGGGGGTGGGTCCTTGTGGATGGGTCTGGGTGAATCTGTGGGCGTGGGTGGAGGACTGAGGTGCGGCTGCGGCTGCTGCGGCTGAGGCTGCGGCTGCGGCTGCGGCTGTTGATGATGGTGATGTGGATGATGACGATGATGTTGATGTTGATGTTGATGCTGCTGCTGCGGCTGTTGGTGCTGTGCTGTTCGGCGGTGGCTGTTGATGGGCGATGAGAGGGGGATTAGCCACGGGCGTGCGGTGCCTGAGGAGGGGCGAAGCCATGTGTGTTGGTGGAACGTGGGCGTGGCGGGGTGCTACATGGGCCACTTTAGGCGGCAGTAGCGGGGAGTTCAGGGGATGACGTGGGCGTGACTCTGACCGCCTTGTCGCGGCGGGGCGGGTGTGGGCGCGTGGAGGGTGTCCATGGCGAGGTCAAGAGGTCAGTTTGGAGAGGGACGGTCTAGGGTGTTGAGCGGCTGGGGTCAGGAGCCGGGGTCAGGAGCTGGGGGTGAGGAGCTGGCATCGGCGGCGGTGGGTCAGACTCACCAACCACTCGGCATAATCCAGCCTAAGATATGTACAAGAAGTCCCTGTCTTCCACCTTAATATACACTTAATATTGACACTATGTACCAGCACTATCTATACAATGATGTACTGCTAGGTACCTAAGCCTGGTCCAACAGTTTGTGATAGCAATGTATATTTCATCTTCACTGGTGGGGAGCGGTCGACACCACCACTGAAGCCGCCATACTCACTTCTTGAAGGTGTGTGTGTGTGGGGAGGTGGGGAGGTGGGGGTGCCAACTACCTACACCGCCTCCACCTGTACCTCCACCAGGTTAATACTGAACCACCACACTCAAACACACCTCACACACACACCACCTCTCTTTTAACACCCCCCAAACCTCCTGCACGATCCCTAGGAAGGATCTTCGTAGGATACAGAGCAGGAGTTCCTTTCTTAGGGGTGAAGGAGGGGAACTCAAGACACCCCAAAGAGACCCCAGTACGGGAGATCTCAGGAGGAAATCTTGGAGGTCTTCTGTTGGGTGTTATTCCAGGACCTCGGGGTGGGGGGTGAGGGTCCCAGGAGAGGCCGGCGTCCTCAGAGAAGGGAGGCAGGCCCGGGTTCTCTACTAGTGACCCAGGGCGGCAGGCGACTCACGGGAGGCGACAACTGACGATATGCGGCTGGGGACCTGTGGGAGTGAAGAAGACAAGTATTAACTCGAGCCTTGGAGGAGGAGGAGGAGGAGGAGGGGACAAGGGATGGTGGAAGATAGAGAAAGATAAAAGATATGAGAGAGAGAGAGACGAAGAATAAACGAGCAGGAAAAGAGACCCCCAATATGAAGACAATAGCTGGAGAGAGAGAGAGAGAGAGAGAGAGAGAGAGAGAGAGAGAGAGAGAAAAAAGAGAGAGACAGAAAAAGAAAGAGATAAAGAGAGAGAGAGAATTATAAAACCCACCACAAAATAACTCTCTCTCTCTCTCCTCATCACCCATCGACACATTCAGTCAAATCTATAAAATTGACGAAAATTTCCCACGTAACTTATTTGATACGAGAGGAGGGTTTAAGACCAGGGGGACGTGAGGTGGGCAGAAGGTGGTGTGGGTATAGTCGTATAGTGGGAATAGTGGCATAGTGGGTATAGTGGTATAGTGGATAGTGGCATAGTGGGTATAGTGGGCCATTGTGTGACGTAACCCTTAGGTGAGGTGGACCATTACACACTCTCATGACTCAAGATGATAAAGGTATGGAGCCAGAGGTCAATATCCGGTCACTGACACACCTTGATAGCCACACCTGAGACACACCTGATAGCCACACCTGAGACACACCTGATAGCCACCTGAGGATACACAGATCAAAGACCCCAGTAGGATTTTTACGTACATGTGACTGTTACTATTGTTGTTTCATGTGTACACGTGATTGATATGACCGGTTCTTGAGTGTGAGCATAATCGTTGTTTTTGATATACTGATGCACACATGACTGTTAGTGTACACATGACCGTTGTTGTTATATACTGATGTACACACGACTGTTTGTGTACATATGACTCGGGTGACTTATATTAATGTACACATGACCACTGTTGTTAATATGACTTACATATGACTGTTCGATACTACTGTGTACATACCGACAGACACATTGGGGGGGGGGTGTCACATGATTACACTGTACACTACACATCACCACATTGTACACTACACTTCACCACATTGTACACGTCACCACACTGTACACTACACATCACCACATTGTACACGTCACCACACTGTACACGTCACCACACTTTTGGGGGAATCTGGAACATTTGATACTTAATGACATCACTATGACGTCAATACACCGGGAATGAGGTATCAAGTATGTGACGAGTTAGTTGATGACGCACACACACACACACACACACACACACACACACACACACACACACACACACACAGACAGACAGACAGACAGACAGACAGACAGACAGACAGACAGACACACAGACAGAACAGACTGACTGACTGACTGACTGACTGACAACAATACACGAACGAACAGACAGACAGACAGAACACGAACACACGAACACACAGACAGACAGACAGACACAGACAGACAGACGACAGACAGACAGACAGACAGACAGACAGACAGACAGACGAACAGACAGACAGACAGACACAGACAGACAGAACAGACACACACAGACAGATACACGACAGACAGACAGACACACACACACACACACACACACAGACAGACAGACAGACACAGACAGACCAGTCAGACAGACACACGAACACACACAGACAAACCACACACACACACACACACACACACACACACACAGACAGACAGACAGACAGACAGACGAACACAGACAGACAGACAGACAGACAGACGAAAGACAAAAGACAGACAGACAGACAGACAAACGAACAGACAGACGACACACACACACACACACAGACAGACAGACAGCAGCAGACAGACAGACAGCAGCAGACAGAAAGACAGAAAGACGACAGACAGACAGACAGACGACAACAGACAGACACACACACGACAGACAGACAGACGAACGAAAGACGAAGACAGACAGACGAACAGACAGACGAACAGACACACACACACACACACAGACAGACAGACAGACAGACAGACAGACAGACGACAGACGGCGACAGACAGAAGACAGACAGCAGACAGACAGACAGACAGACAGACAGACAGACACACACACACACACAGACAGACAGACAGACGACAGAAAGACAGAAGACAGACGACAGACAGACAGACAGCAGACAGACACACACACAACCAGACACAGACAGACAGAACAGACAGAAGAACAGACAGACAGACAGACAGACAGACAGACAGACAACAGACAGACAGACAGAGACAGACACACACACACACACACACGACAGACGAGAGACAGACAGGGACAGACATACACACAGGAAATCAGAAATATATTTAAGAGCTCTCTCTCTCTCTCTCTCTCTCTCTCTCTCTCTCTCTCCTCTGGGGAAAGCTTGGAGGAATAATAGAGACAAAAGATGGAGTGGACTGCTAGCTGAGTGTTTGGTGATTGTGGGGTTTGGAGGGAGTGGAGGTTGGGTGGTGGAGGAGTTTGGGGGTAGTGGGTTGGGTTTGGGGGGTAGTGGAGGGTGGTAGTGGAGGTTTGGATTGGTAGTGGAGGAGTTTGGAGTGGGTGTTGGTGGGCGGTCTGGTGGGCACTACAACATGCTGATGACCTTCAGTAGGTTGTCATAAATGAGTCACTGATATGAAATGACTGATAGCATTCACCCCCCCCTCCCCCTCCTCCTCCTTCTCTCTCCTCCCCCTCCTCCTCCTCTCTCCTCCTCTCAACCTCCATCCTCCCCCTCTTTCTTCTCCTCCTCCCCCTCTTTCTTCTCCCCTATTCCCCCCTCCTCGCTGGGTGGAAGAGGGTAGGGTAGGAGGGAGACGGTAAGAGAGTAGAAGGGGGAGGATAGGGGGGAGAGTAAGGAGGAGGAGGAGAGTAGAATGAGAGGGAAGAGTGTGGGAAAGGGAGGGTAGGTAGTAACGTGGGGAGAGGAGAGAGAGTGAGAGGGAGGGATGGTGGGGTGGTGATTGTACACCTGGAGAGGGGACCTTTGGCCCTGCTCCACCTTTGTCCATGATGCAGGGGGGTGTAGACAGGATGAGTGGTGGGGAAGAAAGAAGGAGTGAAGAGGAGGGAGAATAGGGAGATAACAGGGTAGGTGAATAACAGGAGAGGGGTGAGTGGTGAATGGAAGACAAGAGGGTGAGGGTAGGAGGGGTGAGGGCAGGAGGGTAGAGGGCTGGAGAGGTTGAGAGGTGAGGGCAGGAGAAAGTTGACGACAGGAGGGGGGTGGAGGGAGAGGACATGAAGGGAAGGGGTGAGGGAAGAAGACAGGAAGGGACGGGTGGGGGTAGAGGGGTGAGGGGGGAAAGGAGGGGGGAAAGGGTGTGAGGGGGGGGGGCACCACCGGCCTTGATAAGTGAACGATGTGTCATGTTTCTCGTGCTGCAGCTCACGTGTTCACTCTTCACCCTGTTTTGTTGTTGTTATTGTTGTTACTATTGTTTTTATTAATGTTTTCATTTTTGTCAATGTCATTATTGTTATTCCGTCATTGGTCAGTCACAATAACTCCCAGCCAATCACCTTCCCCTACAATAACTACAATGTCTATGTTATATTCACCTTAATAATACTTCTATGCCAAAATGACCGCCGAATGATTAAAAAAAAGACGATAATTAAATAAAATTGACTTAATTATTTCTTATAATTTTGTTGGCCGTTTAAACATTGGTTTATATTTTGCCATAAATTTTCGTTCATTCATCAAGGTGGTTTAATCCCTTCACCAGTCAGCAGCTTGCGTTGTGGGAGTTTTGAATCACCTGTACATCGTGTTTATAGAGTCCCTTGATGTTTGTGTTTATAGAGTCCCTTGAACACGAGAACACTGAGAGAACAAAAACACGAGAACATAAGAACATGAGCATAAAACTCGAGAACACTGAGAGAACAAGAACACAAGAACAATAGAACATTTAAACCAGGAAAAAACAAGAACACAAGAACAAAAACACAAGAACACTGAGAACATAAAAATACGAAAACACAAGAACACAAGAACAAAAACACAAGAACACTGAGAACATAAAAATACGAAAACACAAGAACACAAGAATATCAAAATATAAACACGTGTCCCTAACCTAACCTAACTTAACCAAACCTATCCTATTCTAACCCAACCCAG